CAAACTAGACAAGGGGAATAGATATAACCTGACCACTCCCACTCAAAGATCAACTGAGTAATAACTTCAGGTTAAATAGCCTGCAGTCATGAAGTAACACTGTGCAGCAGCTTGCAATTTCGGATCCTCATGAACAATATGCAGGAACTTTACTGGAATCACTGATGAGATACTCATCGGCAAAAAACTGCACCTGTAGCGGTAAATAATTCCCCAAAATTATTGACCATAGGAATAGATTACGTCTAAGAGAAGAATTACATCGTGACCATAAGAAACATCGGTGAACATTGGATGCTGACCCTGAGAGCTTAAGTCGACTTGTTTAGCTGAAGGCTTCCCGTCAGGCATCCCCGCCACTTGGTACTCCGTCGTGTCACTTTCGTGCACGATAACTAGCTACCTTAGCTTCCGCTTCAGTCCGCTATTTGGTTCCGAAATATATCTCGTAATTTGGACAGTCACTTGTGGTGTTTTGCTTTGCCTTTGGTACACGAGAATCAAATAAGATAGAAGTTGTTGGTATAAGATCTTGCGTTAATATACTCAGTAATGTTCGCGTACGTTTATACCGTCAGCCTCTATATACCCCTGATGTGATCAATAAATCATCCGGAGAATGACATAAGGATCTTGGTACGATGTTTGCATTACGAAGAAATATCTACGAATATAATCAATCCTTTCTTTTTCACATCTTAAAATATAAACATCTGGTAGGTCTTAGAAGAAAAGTTCGAAAGACAAAGAGGAACTATATGCTTTTGGAGTTTTTAGTCTACCACCAAGTCACAAAGTCCTAGAGCCCACTACCAGGAAAAATGGTGTCTGAGCACTCAGTCGAACGGTGCAAGAAACGATTGAACAGGCACAGAAGCCAGTTTATAAAGGGCTAAAATAGGCTTGAAGCCTAATATCCGTAACAAGAAATCTGAAATATCCCAGATGGCCCTGGGGAGTTCAGGGGCTGTCTCTATTTATAGACTGCCTCGACCCACTCATCTTATGTCAATTAACTCGCCACGTCTGTTAGCTGTCAAGTTCAGCTCCCAAGACCAGTTGACTACCGCTCTCCATAGATGGTACGAGACCAAGGACAAGGTCAGCAAACACATTCGCTGCTGCGAGAGCCGGCCTCGCACTCAAAGGAGAGAACAAAGCGTAGTAAAAAAATCCTCAACCCCTAGTCACACTACAGCGGTGCAGCACGGACGATGATAGCCAGTGTCATCCGAGTGCTCCGACTGAACTAGAAGAAAAAAACGCCAACAGGCCGGTTCCTGGGGAATCGGCCAACTAGTTCGTAGGATAACTCCTCAACCGATAGCCAATATCAAGTCAACTACCCCCCAATACGGGGAAGTGGTGAGACTGACTACCAGTTGCCTGTACAGTAATGTGAGAGGGCTAAGAGGCAAAATAGCTGAACTTAGACACCTACAATCACAACTGAACTCCAAAATCATAATACTGACGGAAACCTGGCTAACCCCTACGGTGGCAGACAGCGAAGTCAGTATAAATGATATGGTCCTAGTCAGGCGAGATAGGGACCTGAAAGAAGGAGGTGGAGTCGCCATATACGTCGACAAACAGCTCAGATGTGTTCACGCGATGGACCCTCCCCTCACAGAGCTCCCTGACTCCATATGGTGCCACTTCACCGTTGGGTACTGCAAATATCTAGTGGGCAGCATTTATCGATCACCTTCATGTGGAGCAGACCACAACCAGGTACTGCTAAATACAATCTCAGCAACTCAAGACATGGGTTATGATCAAATTGTCATAGCTGGTGACTTCAATGCCCCATCTCTTAACTTGGTGTCGGGAAAAGCCCATGATAGATTTGATCGAAATCTGCTGCATACCATCAGGAAGGCTGGATTCACTGAAAATGTCAAGATGGATACTAGATGGGGCCCTGATGGGAAGTCTTCTAGACTGGATTACGTGCTCACTAGTGACCAGCTACTAGTGGAAAACGTTCAGATCACGACTCCCATAGGTAGTAGTGACCACGCGGTCATAGTATTCGACATAGTCCTCCGCGAGCGCTTACAGTGGGACAATACACAGCCCTATCTGTGTTATAACAAAGCCAACTACACCAAAATGCGAAGACTTCTGTCTGAAGCAAATTGGCCTAAAAAATGGACAGAGCTAACAGTAGAAGAACACTGGAGAGTGGTAAAGGAGATCATTCACCAGGCGGTCTCAGACACTGTTCCTTTAGTCACACCAAAAGCTAGGAAGCAACGATCATGGCTAAAAGGGGGACACAACGCCTTCTGCAGGCGAAGCGAAAAGCCTGGTTTGCGTGGCGACGATCGAAGAGTCAACCCGAATATGAAGTGTACCTTGAACTCAGGAATCGATGTAACATACGAGTCCGGAGCGATAGAAGGACATTTCAGGGAGACCTCGCCAATAAGCTTCTCGTGAACCCCAAAAGCCTATACAGGTTTATGTCCGAAAGAAAACCGACCAACCAGGGAGCATGCAATCTAGTGGGTTCTGATGGGAAATCTCTTACTAGTCTTGAAATGGCAGAGACATTCAGCCTAGCCTTTCACAGGCAACTAAACAGTAACGAGGATATTACCCCACAGAACATCCAGATTACATCGCAAAACCAACACGCGAAAACCTGCTGGGTACATTTCAAATTACCCCGGCTATGGTACTTGCAAAATTGGGAAGGTTGGCTTCGGGAAAGTCTTCAGGTTGTGATGACATCAGACCATCTGTCCTGAAGCAGTGTTCAGAAAGTCTCTGCCAACCCCTAAGTGATCTGTTCCAACACTCCCTTGATGTAGGGAAACTTCCATGTGAATGGAAACGAGCAATCCTATCCCCTATCTTCAAGGGTGGTGACCGGCAGAATGTGACCAGTTACAGACCAGTTGCTCTACTTCCAGTGATATCGAAGATATTGGAAAGTCTCATTGACGACCACATGAGAAAATACTTCGATGGGACTAACCTTCTTCACGAAGCACAGCACGGTTTCAGGAGGGGAAGATCCTGCGTGACGAATCTTCTACTAGCTTGGAACGATTGGACACTATCCTGGGACAAAAAGGTACCAGCCCACGTGATCTTTCTCGACTTTGCGAAAGCATTCGACACAGTTCACCATGGTCTGCTCCTTCACAAAATAAGCAAGGCGGGTGTTTCTGGAGCACTTCTCGCATGGCTGACAGATTACTTAGGCGAGAGAGAATTCTGCACCAAAGTCAACCGCATCCGATCATCCTGGCACACCTCGGCATCAGGGGTTCCTCAGGGTTCTATCCTAGGGCCGTTGATGTTTTTGATTTTTATCAACGACCTGCCCTCCCAACTAAACTGCTCTGCGCTTCTTTACGCTGACGACGTAAAGATTTGGAGAGCAATAAACTCATCGGAAGACTCAGATAGATTGCAGGCTGACCTGCAAACTCTGGGAAACTGGGCTCTGGCTAACGGAATGCCTTTCAACCTAAAGAAGTGCAAAGTAGTGCAACTTCATTCCGGCAGGTCACAGAGTGTAAATTACACCCTTGGTGGCCAGAACTTGAGTTGTGTTCCATCAGAGCGAGATCTAGGTCTTATTCTAACAGAAAAGCTAGACACCAGTGGAAATTACTCGAGGGACGTCGCCAAAGCCTACGCAACTTACACTTTATGCATAGGCAGCTGGGAGCTCTCACTCCCGAACTGTTCTTAAGGTTATATAAGGCATATGTGAGGCCACACCTTGAGGTGCATAATATCATTGCACCTCCGCTACTCAAAAGGGATGCTAACATTCTAGAAAGTGTCCAGAGACGAGCGACAAAATGGGTGATCGGCCTCCGCAACAAATCATATGAGGAAAGACTAAAGAAATTAGGTCTTTTCACACTTAGTTACCGTAGGCACAGGGGAGACCTCATCACCGTCTACCAAATCCTAAATGACCAGGCCCACCCAAATAAAAGCATCCTGCCATTAAGTGATTATAGGCTTCCACGAGGTAACCCGCTAAGGATAGCACACCAGAGACCAAAGACTCGAGTGCGATCACATTTCTTTTCGCTTCGTGTTTGCCGTCTCTGGAACGCTTTACCGGCGGCCGTGACTACAGCGCCATCTCTGGAGATTTTTAAGCGGAAGCTAGACAATCATGCAGAAATGCAAGGTTTGTGTCTCAATGGCTTATCCTCATAAAACTTGAAACCACACTGTCAATGATAAGCGTACAAACTAAATCCCCACGACCTATTCTGCCTTCTCTCACTCTATCTTTTCCTTAGGTCACCTTTATTATTCCACTTATCTCAACCTATATTATCTACACTACAACCCATTATTTTATTCTTATTATTATTACTACTATTCTGCTTTTATGACTACACCGAATGACCAACGGGAGTTAGGTCAAACTCCATTCACGGCAGCAATACAGTCCTAACATACTGCATACTACAAACCACATCTCGACCAATCCCCGCACCACTCCTCCTGGAGTCTACCAGAGCTAAAGCAGTCGAGTGGCGGGACTTACTACGCAGAAGCTCACCGAAGATCTGGAACCTCTACCTCACAATCAAGAAGCGAGCTCAAAGAAATCACTGGTTTATACTAGCTCGTAATCAGGATATTGGATATTGTAGGACTTAAAACACTTGTTATGTACTTATGATGACTTCTTTGGTGTAATGATTTGGAACTCATAGGGAATGAAGTACTAATTTATATCAATTTTCATATACATGTGACGATTAAATATTTCCACCTTAACTTAGTTTAAATTTTCCACATTGAATAATTTTGACCTTGTTTTTTCAAACCGGGTTTTCGAATGCATTTTTTGTTCTCGCATGTCACGTTCAGTAATCAATGCGGTATTATGAACAATCATACACCCTTCTTACTTGATGATATCAAAACACTACAGTTTTATAGTAAAACACCTTGATAGTTTGGATTTATAAAACAACCGTGAAACTCTTATAAAAATTATCTAAATTCATATGGAAAATTCTCCGCTTCCAACTGTAAAAGGCCAAATATTTGAGTTAGGGCCAAGGTTTGATGACATACAGTATGTTGGTGAAGGGGCATATGGAATTGTGGTGTATGTCCTATTTCCTTATCTATTATGTTTAAGATCTGCGTTCGATCGAGTACGGAATGAGAAAGTTGCTATAAAGAAAGTTTCCCCATTTGAACATCAGACCTACTGTCAGAGAACATACAGAGAGATTTGGATTTTGAGTAGAATGGATCACGAAAACGTTTGTTACATTAAAATGATTTGTAATAGTTAACTTGCAGATAGTTAAGATTCATGACCTCATAACACCAAGCACTTTCGAAGAAATGAAAGATGTGTAAGAGTTGTCTGCTTATTAATCTCTTATGATTTATAAAGTTATATTGTAGAATGTTACATGGAAACTGATCTTTGCCGTTTATTGAAAACTCAGAAGCTTAGCAATGATCATATTTGTTATTTCCTTTATCAAATGCTAAGAGGTCAGTTCATAGTCTGAAAAGTTTTATTTTTAAGGTCTCAAATATATACATTCTGCAAATGTCCTTCACAGAGATCTGAAGCCATGCAATATTTTATTGAATGCAGCATGTGATTTAAGAGTAAGTTTGTTATTTCAATGGATTTATATTGATAGATTCTTTTTTGTTTTTAAGTTCTAATATTTCACAAATTTTGGCTTCATTGCATATCTGCTTTTATAATTTTAGTTCCATCTGTTTACATGGCGGATTTCAAATTTTGTTGACATGACTACGTTGAAGAGATTTTGAAGAACAGCCACAGAATGCATATTTCAGATATTTGAATTAGTTAAATATTTCACCTGACCTTATGCATGATAGACATGATAAGGATAAACTATTTCGGCACTGAGCTTCAAAATTCTATTATGTATTGGTTACTCGAGCTTTTAAGCGACATTCATCGTGACTTAGTCCTTATGGTAGAGTCTTATGCAAAGCAACTGTCTTGAAGTTTAATAATAATAATAATGATTTACTTTATTCCAAAAACAGTACTTGTGATACAGAATGGAATTTTCGGCATTAATCACAATATTACTGCATCTAATTTCCTCAAATTATAGATAAAAATTAATCACACAGAAAATTTTCCACATTTACAATAGAGGTAGTGTCAAAAACATGCAGCATGTAGAATGGAAATAGCAATAAATAATGATAACATCTAGGGTAATAATAATAAGTATACAAGAGAAAATTGCCGTTGGCTTGTGTCACACAGTATTGGCAATGTGGTATAGAAATCCTAACATGTTTAAAAATATTGAATATAACGTTCTCTTTACATCAATACAAAACAATCAATACAAAAGCGGTGTCCCTAGTTATTAACTTGTTTTAGCCATAAGTTACTAAATTTCTGATGTAATGTCAACCTTATGCTAACTGATATCATGCTACAAGATGCCTTATTCCAAACTTATCGTCACTTTAAACTAATCTATATTTAATAATCGTCTAGTCATTGGATATTATTAATAATTTAAGTTTCCCAAAGATCCAGGTGGTTCTTGTTAGAAAAGAATTTAACTCAGAATTGCACAAATCACTTTGTTTTAGCAAACGAAAGGCTTTCATAAAATCTAGTTATACATTTTATGGTTATTAACCTTCCCTTAGTAATTTTTATTTCATGAATTAAGGGAAACTGTTAAATATATTCTAACATTCGATGTCCAGTTGTTTGTTCCAGTTCAAATATATATAAATATTACTGTAGAGTTAGTCCATAAGTATATGATGGTTTCCAACACAAAAATTACACACCAATAATCTGCAGTTACCCAGTTATACATTGACCGTTAAAAGTAGGGGCGAATACATGGATCTATTTTACAGAAAACTTTGAATCATATAACTGTCTCAGCTTTCTCGGTAACTTGTTTTTTGGTCCTATTTAATTGTGTCTGCTAACTTGTAAATATGAACCTTTTTGTTTGTCTCATAGCAATCTGATATATATTATGTTATGCTAATTACTCATCATATGGAACATCCTAGTACTGGGAGACTTAGTGTTTAGTGAATGTTTCTCAATTACCTAGTAAACTTATTCACAAGAAATTAGTAAGTGTACTAATAACTTTTTATATGTAATACTATTTTCACAGTCGACTTTAAGCCAAAAAATGTAAATTTTTGCAGACTAATGTTCATTATGAGCAGGTATTCTTTGTTATAGACTGCTACTTAACTGTACATATAAGCATATGTAAATAGGTTCAGTAGAGATTCTCAAAAGGACTAACAATAAAACTTTATTATCGTCATATTACTGACTGAATGTCTTTATGCATCTTACGTTAGTGATTACTACGTACACATTTTATTTTCCCTCCAGCATACTGAAAGATATTCCAGGTGACACGCCAGTCTTGATAAGTCTTTAAAAAAAAAATATATATATATAATCATTGTCACTATTCCCTTGGGTTCCTAGTGGAACATATTCATCTTTCCATTTTATTGCAGCATTTTTAACCTTGCTACATGGTTGCCTTCAAGCTTTCACTTCATCTTTACATAGTCTCCTCCTTTTCATCCTCGGATGCCTAACTCTTCGTTACCTTGGATTAGTTCTTTCCTCTGACCTTTCATGGTCATCCCACATCTTATCTATCTCTAAGAAAATGTTTTGTCTTACCTTCTACATTAAAAAGTTAGGATAATTAGATATCAACCAACCTTTACTTCTGTAGTTTGAAAACTCCTGTATTTTACCTATTGTACTCTATTGCTCTCTGGGCTTCTCAAAAAAGACTATATCATATTATGAAGAGTATTAAATGCCGTGAGTAGAGCTTGTGGTCTGCTACTGCATGAGCTCGCCAATACTATAGTCGAGAGGCATATAAATTCCTGTACAAAATGGGAAAAGGCCATACTGTCAGACCCTCTGCACCCCCTTTATTCACACCTGTCCCCTTGTATCTCATCAGGTAGGACGAGAAGTCAATATAAAAAGTTATATGCTCGTACAACTAAGTACAGAAATTCTACAATACCCTATTTAGCCCGTACTTTATGTGATGAAGACTCTGTTAGACGTGAAACTTACAAGTTACTATGTAATTAGCACAGTAAATCGACCCTTTCATCGTTCATCTTTCTGTATTTTATGGTGTCACACTTCCTATCGTTTAATTGTTACTCTGCTATTTTATTTTAGTTGGTATTACTATTATTACTACAATTTTGTACTTCATGCATATTTTTCTCCGTATAGCATACAGTGTTTTGCTATGTAGCTGCTGTAACAACGGTTTTATTATTATTATGTAATGTGTATTTATAAATTTTTTTGTCGTTTTTGAGTAAATTAGATGCAATGTTGTACTGAATGCTGAAAATTCCTTGCTGTATCATTAGTACTGTATTTTGAATAAAGCAAAAATTATTATTATTATTATTCCACCCTAGGACCTGCTTTACGTAGGATGTTACTCAATGGTCTTCCCAGGGTATGTCCAATCCATTTAAAACTCCTTCTACAGATATTTATCAGGCGATAGATTCTTGTTTTGCTCTCCAGGAGAGCTCTTTATTGCCTGTGCGTGATGATCGGCCATGTGATCTTCATTATGATGTGAATGCAGCTGTAGATGAAATAAGTTTTGTGATACTCCAAGTGTCTGAAGTATACAGAAGCACTGACTTGATATTAGGGTTGAAGATCTGAATTTATTTTCCTTATTCTGAGTTCAGTAAAATTCCCACACTAATTTCAGAGTATTAAAAACCTCTCTTACTTCTTCTGTTATGCCTCTGATCTTGTCAAATATCATTAATCCGAATTTGGGAATCATTGGTAGTACGCGTTTACAGAGGTTTGAACCCAAGATCTTTCGGTTACTTGGTAAGCTGGCTCGTATACCATTCAACCACATGGACCCGATTCAATAGCCAACCCATGAATTCTAACTTCAAACCCCTTGTGGTGGGTGCGTACTGTCGATGATTGTCAAAACTAGGATGAAACAGCTGTTCAGTACTCCTTGTGGCTGGTTTTCAATAGTTCTCTAACTGATATCAATCTGTGGTAAAACTTGTAAAAACAAATTTAATCCTTATAAATCAACTCTTGAATATCTCGTTAAAGAGATGCTGTCCAGAAAGTTGAAAATGGTGTCTTCCTATAGATTTGTTCCGTTGATGCTGATTGATGCTTCTTTCTGTAACTTCATCACTTTTATCTTGTCTATATTCACTTGATGTCCCATCTTCATTGAACTACGGTTCTGGAGGAAATCATTATTTCAAGAAACTTACTATATTCGACAAAAAATCTCTTGAGATTGGTAGTCATATTTTCTATATTTCTGATATGGGTGATGAGTCATTCCCATTGCATGTGTTATGTTGAATGTAGATTCTGTGAACAAAGATTAAATAATCAACCTCTCTCTCTTCACTTACCTATAATACCTTTTACAATTTTAACCCTCTTCCACCCTATTGTGTGTCTGTGTGTTAATGCATGCATTACAATTGCTGAGCTTTCTTGTAAATTACATTCTAAATTTAAGCCGAATTCTTATGTTCTGATAATCTGATTACCTTCCAATCTACTGGTTTCACCTATGTGGTTGACTTAACTCACAGTTATTGCTAGGTATTTTGTAAATTATACTATTTTGTCTATTAGGATCAACTTGCAGACTTAGTTCGACTTGGGTGAGTTTGAAGGTTTAAATAGTACCCTAATTCCTGCTTGATTGAGAATCCTACGTAGGTCTCAGATATCCTCTCTCTCCTTATGTGGTAAAACTATAGGTGCCTTATATTCTCTCTTATTTACCTTATCATTATTAGTTCCACCATTATTTTCATTTTGCTTTTGACCTTTCCTGATCTTCCTACTGAATTTTATAAGATCTGTTTTATTTCATCATTTCTGTATTTTCTTGTGCTACTTAGTGCTATGTCTCGGTTTGTTAGACGCTTAACTAAGCCTGCCTTCACAGACAGTTAACGGATGAGATGAATTAAAGTCTAAATATCTATTAGCAGTTTGCACTGGCTTTTTATAAACGCTAGTGTGCAGTTCACCTTCTTCTACGGTTCGTCTTATTTTAAAATCTAACATCATACCTTATTCTTCTTGTTTATTTCCGATTCAAATGTGAATTTTATTCCCTCTACTAGTGAGTTCATATGTGTCAAGAATCTAGAGAGAGATATGTTCTGTTTTTTAACACTGTGAAAGTGTGTCATCCACATATCTTCCCCATATTTTTGGAGTAGGATCAAACGTATTTAGAGCAGTATTTTCTCAGATGTCCATAAACATACCTACTACGATACGGAATACTAGTGATCCCACTGCTACAACTTCAGTTTATCTATCCATTTTGCATTGGAATTTAAAGATAGTAGATGTGAGGTATAAATGAATTCCTAAAATAATTTCCTCAGTGAACAACTTCGTCCTATGAGTAAGTTCGGGATCAGCAGCTGGTTCTCTTCTAACTACCTTCTTAGGCAATATTGATTGGTATATTGGTGTAAAGACTAGTTATATCAAAACTGAGCATTTTTTTCATTATTCTCTAACTGCATGGCATTTAGTTGCTTTT